GTGACAGCACTGCGGGACCAACCTGTCAGCACGCCAGCTGCTCTGCTCTGCAGCTTTCCCAAGTCCGCTGCTCGTCAGTTTCAGCAGCAGCAGCGGTGGACTTGGGGAAGCGGCGTGGAGCAGAGAAGTTGGGGTGCTGCCGGGCACAGAGCAGAGGGGTGAGGGGCGGCGCTGCGGGACCAACCCGCCAGCACCGGAGCTGCTCTGCTCCGCGCCGCTTTCCCAAGTCTGCTGCTGCCACTGCTGAAACTGACGAGGGGCGGACTTGGGGAAGCAGTGCGGAGCAGCTCCAATTGTCCGGCTGGTCAGAGCACTTCCAGGTTCCTGTTGGTGCCGGACTATTGGGAGTGCCAGACCACTGGATGCCGGACAATTGGAGTTTTACTGTACACGCATGAGCTAAGATTATTAGGCCTTGTCTGCACTAGACCAGGCAGGTCAGCTTATGGTACACCATCCAGCTAAGCAAAATGCATAGCCACATTCAGCTTACCTTAAGCTGAGCCACTGGAGCATCCACACCACAGGAGGCCAACAAGCGTGCATGCTCCCATCAGCTTCTCTTACTCCTCGCAGAATGAGGAGTACAGGATACAGGAGGGGGCTGCCCTCAGCATTCAGTTTGTGGGCCTACACGAGACCTGTTAAATCAAACGCTAGAAGATTGATCTCCAGAGGGTTGATCTTCTCCATAGTGTAGACAAGCCCTTAGCGTTTACTTTTTCTGAAGTTTGGCCAGAAACTGAACTGACAATGAATAATTGATCTTCCCTACAGGAAGTCTCCCTATTTAAAATAGAAAACATTGCTTTTTCTGGTTATCTTGCTGTAGGGGTGCCAAATGCCAAATCTTGGATTCACTCAAGGAAAGGTATGTCAATTCTGTGTATTTAAGAACAAAGGTCACTCATACAGGAGAAAGTAGACTTCATAGTTCCTGTAGATTGATACAATAAGAAAAATGGGCAGCTGGATTCTTATGATGTATGCTATCAGGGCCAAATTCAGAAATAAGTGTTTATAAAGAATTCTAAAATGGTTGTAAGTTGTATTGTTCTAGCCCATTTAGCATTACTCTAATTTAGATACCCTTAGATGCCATCATGTAGGGTTTTTTTTTCCACATGTCCTGAGCTTCCTTCAGTGCTCAGGGTGGACAGTACTCACAGAGTGAGTCAAGGTTGTGTGTATGAAAATGAGGGCATTTGTTGTATTATTTGGAATGTGTGTACTGGTTGTAGTGGAGAGGCAGGGACTGCAAAAGGAGAGACGACAGTCTCATAGTTAAGGCAGTTGAATATTACGCTGAAGAACTGGATTCGATCCCTACCTCTGCCTTGGAGCTCCTAGGGAATGTAGAGCAAGTCACTGAAACCAAACACATTCAGTAGTTATGTGTTTCTCATTTTCTGGGTGCCTGACTTTATGAGATTTATGAAAGTGTTGAGCATTCATAATTGCAACTGAAGTCAACGGGAACTGTCCTCTGAACAAATAAAGTCCTTTAAAATGCATTTTTTATTTCTGAAAAATCAGGCCTTAGGCATCTTAAATCTTATGAGACACTTTGGGGAATTAATGCCTCTCCGCCTCTGTTCTCACTTGGTAAAATGGGAATAATAATACCACCTTGCCTCACAGGCATTTTGGAAGATAAATTAATTAGTGTTTGAAAAGCTCTTATATACTCTAGTGATGAGCACCTGAGGAAATTAGTAATTCTGTTTTCAGAACAAGATTTGAATAGGGTGCAATAAATAACTCCTCTGAACAATAAGGAAAAAAACAAAATACGTCAGGACGATGAGTGAGTAAGCACCTATTCTCCCGTGCAGGACATGAAGCGGGTGTCAGAGATCTGAACTTAAATGAAGATCTGTTCACTTCTTGTATCCAATCAGACAAGCCAGTCAGTCAAGTGATTCTGCAGCCGCCCAGCTGGGCTCATTAATCAGTCTGAAAACTGAGCCAGCTAGCCCCAGGCTGAGCTGAGGGATCTAAAGCCCACATTTTCTGACAGCATGTTCTGTGGGAAAAAATAGTATGTAATCATATCATTAAAGACTATATCAGAATGCATATGCTCAAGAGAGCTGAAATTAAAGGTTGAACAGGCCTCCTTAATTCTGGTATTTCCTATCTTTTGGATGATTGACTTTGCAACCTTAACAGTCTCTCAACAACCTTTTTTATGTAATAGGTATATATTCAAGTTATTGCTAATATGAAATCCATTTTCTGTTGCTACAGGAAATGTGAACAGTACTTCTACAGATTTAAACATTTAATTCTGAGAGCCAAAGTGCCATGGGCTTTTTATGGAACCCTTTAACCATGGTACCATATCTATATTGTCATCATATCAAGTGCTTTAATTGCACACAGTGGAACATACTTTTTAAAAAGAAAATATGTTGAAAAAATTTAACAATATCGAAGAAATATGGGTGAAACTCACCCAGTTGTAAAGAGAGATTTACACCGTCCCTTTACCACAGCAGGATACTCATGGCCCTGACAGTGCAGTGCACTCATGCAGAGACCTTTGCACATCGCAGAATGAGGGCTGTATGCTCTCTGAATGTGCCAGTGCAAAGCAGGTAGGAACAGCTCGTAACCGCATGCAGGAGGACATGATCCTAGGCAGGAATAGCAGCTCCAAAGAGCGTACCTGCAGTGTGCCCTATGAGCTATGTACTTATGGGCCCCTCAGGAGAGACATTCAAATACCACCCAGCTGATCAGCAGACCTCCCACAGCTAGGTTTCTACTAGTGGTGTACATTCACACATTCCTTGATACACATAAAAAAAATAATTCTGCACAAGGATGTAAAACATTAGAGGAGTCAGCAGTACGCCACTTCAGCCCAATATTGTAACTTGCATTAAAGCTGTTTACTCTGGTTTTGTGAGAAGGGTGCATTTCACCTGCTGAGAGTTGGGTAAACTTGAAATGACATCTTTATTTCTTTTCAGGGCTATAATTGAAACAGGATGAAACTCTCAGTTGGCACAATAGCTTGAATTGTGCCAGCAATAGTCACGTTCAAAAACCAATGATCATTAACAAGTTCACTAGAACTGGGCTAGAACAGTTTTCATTGCAAAAATGGACAGTGATTTTCTTAAGCAATATCTGCTCGTTACCACTGCATAAAGTCACACAGCAGAATCTAAGACACGGCTTTTGAACCTCAGCGAGTCTAGCTAGCATCCGTCATTCATGCATGAGCTGTTAAAGTGAGTGGGGCTGGCAGCAACAGCTCTGCCACTAAAAGTGACGAATCTGTCTGTATGCTGGAATTTATCTCCCAAAAGACAGTGCCCTGACAATTCATATTCTCTTTCAGCCCTGAATATAATTATTTGTTTGCAATAGACTCTACTAAGTGTCATTTCCAACTCCAAGTGGGAGAGAAGATGACAAACTTAGTTCTCATATCTCCCCGCTTTCATGTCTAGGCATTACTAGCAGAATGCTACAGGTATTTTCATTGTTTGCACTGCTTACAAACCTATAAAAATTCAGATTCTTTATGGTATTGCGAAGGCTTGTCAGAAACCAGCAGGTGATATTATTCTGTATTGAATTGTTACTTTGGGTGACACAGAAAGCTCTAGGGGAGCAATTATCTTCATAAAGGACAGCAAAGAGAAGAAAAAAAGTCAGTGGGGGAAAATATGTAAATCCTTATAGGCATGATACATAGAAATGGTTGGCTGCAGTAGCCTTATTGTAATACATTGACAAGAAAGGCAGGGTTAAGGTGCATAGGGGAGCCCCAGCTCATGTTCTGACATCTGTATAGCAAAATCTTTAGTCTGCTCGTGTCTGTCATATCAATGTGTGTACATATGTTTCTTTTAACCCTTAACAAGAGAGCTACGTTTCAGGTAGACAGCCTCGGATAACGAAAGCCATTCTTAGGGATCGGTGGCCAAGGAAGCTGGGGAAGCTAGTCTGGGGGTCAGGCAGGGTTACTGGCAGAGGGGGGTGTTTGAAGAGGAGGATTGAGGAAGGATCAACAGGCTGGGGGTGGGGTGGTGCTATTTACGGGAGAGGGAAAGGATGAATGAGGAGACTGGACATACAATTGATGACAAATGAGCTCTTTATCTACAGACACCAACAGAAAGATTTTTTTTTTCAGTCAAAGTAACATACACCAAGACTAGTTCAAATGATCTTAAAGGTATTTGAAGTGTGTCTACTTGGATATGAAAGTGGGGGGAGTGGGTTTCCAATGGAATTAAACAAATTCAGTTGAAAATGCATCCTTTATCCCCCATGTAGTCAGGGCCATGGATGGAGGAAAAATTGGATGCGGCTCAGAAGGTTAATGTACCTGTTGCCCCCATACCGCTACTTAATCAACATATGGTAACAATGACTTCTAAAGCTTCCCCAAAGTTCAGCAGAATCAGAAATGGATTTTTAGTCTGGACTTATCTCTGACAATGAAGAGACAGATACATTGGGTGCCCTTACAAATTAATTCAAGGTTTAGAGCTTTCATCAATTTTGGGAGTATTACCTATATACTTAAAAGTGGTGAATGCTACTGAAATTGGCAGCATCTTTAAGACCAACATAAACTTTTAAACGTACCCACTGGATGTAAGGTACGTCTATCCACATGTGAAGTTACTGGCGTGGGGAATGTGTGTATGTATATACAACTGGGCAAAAGAAAATAGGAAATACATTCCTCTGACAAATGTTTCTTTTAGAAATCAGAGCAAGTCAGGAGCTGCTTTGTGGAAGGCAAAAAAGTAGCAGGTTCCTATCAATCCTACACTCTTGGAATCTCATTAGTTATCAGATGGAACTTGACTACTGCTAACAAATAAACAACATTTTTTTTTAAATTCTCTCCTGTTAAACTGCCCAAGGCCACCAAATACAGATTAGTCTAGAGTACATTCATTGTACTTGCTAGAGGTGGTATAAAAAAATCAGCTTTAGGGACATGACTTTTTTCTTCCTCCTCCCTTCAGGCTGTTAAAGGATGCACAGAATGAAGCTCATTTCAAAAGCTGGTATCAGAAACTATTGGCTGCTGTCCAATTCTGTGCAGGAAAAGCCTTAAATGTTGAGTTTTCTAAGGAGAGGAAACTTATCAATATTCTGGGTGATGTTGCTGAAAAAGTGAAGGCTGCCAGCGACCCCAAAAAACAGGTTTGTTCAATTTTTTGTCTTCCCATCTCCTTTCTCTGTTTTGTACAAATACCTTTTCATTTTGAAACTATGGCACATTTCTCCTAAATTACCCTTTGTTATAGAAAATAGCTCCATATTTTGAATCAAAAGTCCCCCAAAGTTTGTGCTATTCTGCATTCATGTAAATGTTTTTTGGTTTGCTCCCTGGTGTGGGAGGAACATAAACTCTACCCTCAATGTGGCTATTTGGCCCATTGAATGTGGCTGGGTTTGTTTCACTACAGCGGTTACTTCTTCAGAATTGGTTGGACACCATGGCTCTAATTAGTGTCTGCTTAAGTCCCAAGGCTGAGTTGCCTAATCATAAATAGTGAGTATCCATCAAATCTTCCAGTTTACCTTGGCAAGCAAATAAACCCCTCAATATTTGTGGTAGTCTATGTATTTTAGCACAGTGTCCACCAAGAATCCCATAATAGCATCAAGTATATGTAAAGACATCTGGAAATATTTTAACAGCCGCAACAGTAATACATTTTTAATAAATAATATAGTCCCTGAGCCATCTGTCTTTGGCTCAGATTCATGTCTAAGTATCATAACATACCTTCAGTAAAGCAGTTCAATAGGTTAAGTGAACAAGATGACGTCTGCAAAGCCCGATGCTCAAAACTCTTCTGTTATTGAAGTAGCCATTATCAGTCCTTAGCTGATGTCTAAACTCTTTCTTGATGAGATCTCAACCAGACAGACCAGAGAGATAAAAGTTAAAACCTATCATTGCATGTAGTCAGACTTTTGACTCTCTTTTGCCTCTAATAAGGATTCAAGGATTTTAGAGAGAGACAGAAACCTTAGACTCATAGGCTACATCTGTACTACATGCTTCTTGCACAAAAGGCCTTTTGCGCAAGAGTTTTTGCACTAAAACTTCTTGCACAAGAGCACATCCACACCCCAAAGAACATCACAAAAGTGACGTGCTTTTGCACAAGAGAGCGTCCATGCTGCATGGACGCTCTTGCGCAAGAAAGCTCTGATGGCCATTCATAGAATGGCCATCAGAGCACCTGTGCTTTTTCCTCTGGAACGTCCACACTTGCCTTTTTGCACAAGAACTCTTTCGCAAAAGGGAGTTATGCCTCGTAGAAGGAGATTCACCTATGCCATTTTACTCTTGATTTCTCTGCGCAAAAGCGCATTTGAGGTGTGGACGGTCCATGGGTTTTTGAGCAAAAACAGCTGTTTTTGCACAAAAACCTTGCAGTGTAGACGTAGCCATAGACTTTAAAATCAAACAGGACCATAATCATCTTATCTGAGCTTCTGCACGTTGCAGGCCACAGAATTTCATACACACACTCTTGCAATAGAGCCCCTCACCTCTGGCTGAGTTACTGAAGTCCTCAAACCATGGGGAGAACCCACCCTTTACACTAACTGAAACCTACAAATGACCTGTGTCATATGCTGCAGAGAAAGATCAAAGGAAAAAAAACCTGTCTCTGCTAATCTGACCTGGAGTAAAATTCCTTCTCAAGACCTTCATCTAACATCAAGCCTAAACTTGTTTTTGGCCAGTTTATATTCATTTGTTCCTGTGTCCACTTTGGTGCTTAACTTAAATAACTCCTTTCCTTCCCTGGTATTTATCTCCGAGACAGCTGGTCAAGTGAGACCTGGGGGGCCATTGGCCACATGACCCCTTCCCCCAGCCCAGGGAAGGGCCAAGACAACCCCCCTCCACCCAGTTCCCCTCTCTCCCTGCCCGTGCTCCACCCCCCTTCAGCCTTGCTCTTCTCCTGCTCCACCTTTTGCCTTGCTCTTTCCTCTTTTCTCTCTTGCTCAGCCCCCATCCTGCCTTTTTCCTCAATCAAGGTGGCACAGGGGACTAAGGAGGCCAGTGCTAGCAGCAAGAGTCCACTGCTTGCTCCTCATTTACTGGCAGCCGCCGGGGCAAATGGAGCAAGGCAAGTGCATCACTCCGTTTCCCACTAGGGAGTGTGGGGGAGTTCACGCTCCCTCCCCTAGAGCAGCATCACTGAGAGCAAAGCAATGGGGCCACCGTGTTCCACTTACCCCTGCCACTGCCGGTGAGTGTGATCCCTGCTTAGGGCACTGCCTTACCCCCCATTGATGATGAATGGGGGGGTTCACCTTTGCTGCAGGTGCAAGCCCCCCACTAGAGCCCCACCTGCTACTGGCCGGCCCCTCCTGCCATGGTGTGACCCCTTCTGACCCCCTCTCCATGTGTCACCCATGATTCACCCCTCTAATGTATTTATAGAGAGCAGTCATCTCTCACTCAGCCTTCTTCTGGTTATGCTAAACACGCCAAGTACTTTGAGTCTCCTTTTATAAGGTAGGTCTTCAATTCTTGGATCACCCTAGTAGCCCTTCTCTGAACCTGTTCCAGTTTGAATTAATTCTTATTAAACATGAAAGACCAGAACTATACCCAATATTCCAGATGAGGTCTCACCAGTATCTTGTCTAATGATACTAATACGTCCTTCTCGCTACTGAAAACACCTCATGTGATGCATCCTAGGAGTTCATTAGCCTTTTTGACAGGTGCATCACATTGTTATCCTGTGATCAACCAACATACCCAGGTCTTTCTCCTCCTGTCACCTCCATTGATACGCTCCCAGCTTGACCTTGTACTTTGCACTATTAAATTTCCATTTCCCCAGCCTGCCATAGTCGCCCTTGATATGATATATTCTAGCGAGAATCTAGCTCTATCATTTGTTCTCACATGAAGGAAAATCAGTGGATTCTTTCCTGCTCCTATTAGGATCCTTTCTGCCTCAGGGTCACATCTCATATCATAGCTCTTGGTGAAGAACACATCCTCCTGGTCTCTAGATCAGCTCTGGAGACAGGTCTGCCTGTTCCTTTTAGTAAGATGTCACCAGTCACATAGAGCTGCCTTTTCCTGGTGATGGTGCAGTTCTCCAGACTTCCTCCTGTTCTTTTGGCTGCAAATGCTCTTGTCTTTTATTCATCTTTGCAATCTTCTGCTCTGCTCTTCTTCCTTGCTCTCCCATCTTCAATTACAGCCTGCTGGGCCCTTTCTTCATTTTCCAACTTGGCAAACTGGTTCCTGAGTTCTGTTTCTCCTTCACTAGCTGTTTACATGCTTTCAAAGGCCACTTTGCTCACCCAATAGTCTCCCCTCTAAAAATGTAAACTGTTAACCAGTTAACTGGTTACCTGCTAAGCGTCCCCTTACCAGCATGCTTACCTGGGTAACTAGTTAACTGGTGGGGAGCTGCTCCAACCTGGCCAGGCTCACCACAATGCAAGTGTGGGACCAGGGTTTAACCAGTTAAACATTTTGTTTTACTGGTTAACCACTTAACTGGGATTTTACATCCCTACTCCCCTCAGAGTTCTTCAGTCAGTTCTGCAAGTCTTGACTTTTTTCCCTTCAGCTTCTTCTTGCCTTTGCTCCATCATCATCCTTTTTGAAACTCAACCATAGTTCTCACCTGCATCTCCAGACCTCGGAGCTTCTCTTCCATCGGCTCTCCGAGGTGCAGAATTGCCAACTGTCAATACATACATGGACAGTCCATAAAAAAGCTTAAGATGGACTATCAGTAAAATCCATAACAAATATTAGATATCAGTAAAAAAAAATTCTGAGCTTTGAAAGGGAGCTGAGGAATTCCTTCCCCGTGGCCTCAGAGCGAGTGCTGTGTAGCAGAGCAGCTGCAGGGAGTCTACAGTTCCAGAGGTTGGGGCAGAGAAGGGAATTCTCTTGGCAGAGGCTCCCTCCAACATGCTGCTAGCGGGCAGGGCCTATTCTTCTCCATCTCTGGCTTTGAATTCATCTTGGGTATCACTCGTGTCAACAGCCCAGCTATTTTTGGTTTCTGCCAGGCTCCCCATAGCTGGCAGGGGCAGAGGACTGGGTACAGAGGACCAGTCTCCCACAGGCGCCCCCTCCCAAGTCAGCATGGGGCAGTCACTTAAATATAAGGTACTAGAAGATTTACCCAAGTCCTTCATGGAGAGGGGTCACATTCAACAGGGCTTTCTCTCCCCTCCAGCTGGTGGGGGCTTTTCTCCCCAAAACCTCCCCTAGCCAACAGGGGCCTTCTGTCTCCCCCTAGAATCCCTCTGGACATCAGGGGCCTGCTCTCTCCCCCCAGCCCCTCCAGTCACTAGGGACCTTCTCTCTCCCCCAGACTTCCAGCCACCAGCGTTCTCCTCTCTCCCCGCTCCTCCAGTGCTGCAGCCAAGAGCTGGGGGGAAGGGTTTGGAGCAGGGGGGGCTACTTACCCAGTCTGGTGGCAGGCAAGATAGTGGAACCTCAGCCCTGCTCGCCACTCTCTCGGTGGTAGGCTGCCCCCAATAAACATTCTGCATATAGCTCTCTCTACTCTCAGTATTGTGTCCTTCCTCTCTGTGCCCCTCCCTTTCCATGTTATGGAAAACAAACTCATTCCTGGCACTTCCCGTTTTCTTGGCACAATCAAACCCTGGCTTTGCTTTAAGTTAGGAGAAGAGGAAGCTGCCTACCAAATGTGATGGCTCTAGCTCTTACCATTTAGGAGGAGTTCTTGAACAAACAGACTGGCTGGACATTTCTAAAATATACTAGCCAATTAGCCCATCATAAGATGGGATTTTCAGGTCTCTCCTCCACGTTGGTCTTCTTTCCTGAGTCACCAGTCTCTCTCTCTCTCTCTCCCACACTCTCTCTCCATCCTGCTTCTACTGCCTCCCCCCCCCAAGCTCTCCTCTGCCTTCTGCCTCTCTCTCCATCTCTCCCTTTTTCTTCTCCTCCTCCTGCCTCTCTCTCCACTCCATCTCTCCCCTTCCCCTCCCTCAGTGGCGCTTGGCTGAGTGCTGTGCCGCTCAGCCAGGCCACCGCGGGGGAGCAAGCTGCGCAGATGGCCATTTGAGCTTCCCTGTGGCAGCCCGGCTGAGTGCACAGCACTCAGCCGAGCACCACAGTTGGAGGGGAAGGGGGCGGGGCAGTGACGTACACGGCCAGAGGGGTCACAAATTGGAAAACTTGGAGGATGCTGATGTGGCTAATAAGTAGATTCAACTAGCATAATACAATTGCTACTGCGACGTATGAATAAAAACATTGAGTAGTGTTCACTTTTGTCCTTTAGAGCTATACTATGTAAGAATGGGTCCATCAAAACCCTTGGTTGCTTGCAGTGTTTTTCTATAATGTCTATAAAAATCATTTTCAGCCATTGGAAACAAATGAAGTACTTTTCAGGCATCTGCACCAGGATCATCTCTCCCCCCACCCCTCAGCTTCCACAGCTAGTCATCTTCATTGTCTCTTCTAGTGCTTGGATCTCTACCAGAGCTGCCTTGCTAGTTGTCTTTGCCTTCCCGCCTAAAATCCTGCCAAGGGAAGAAAAAAAAAAAAAACCAACACCAAAACAAACCTGAATGTCACTCTTCAACTTTGAAGTGAAAAGACATAGTAATTTGACAGAGCGAAAGAGAATGTGTGCCATCATAAGAAGAAAGCAGAAGTGTGTATGGCACTTTTTTGGTACTTCAGTCAGACCTCAGAGACGACCAAGAGGCTGTACGGCCAGAAAAAACAAGTCCCTGTAATTGGCATACCCACACTTAGAAAGGAGAGGCGAGGCAACAGCTCTGAAACAATAAACCTCCCATTGTGAACTCGGTTAGAGAAAATGTCACAGGGCAAAACACAATTCAGAACAACAGGTGCACAGCTAAACAGCCTCTTCTGAGCACACTGTAGGCGACAAGAGCACAGATGTAGACTATGATCACAATTCATAGTCTCAGTTACTGCGCATCCCCTTAGGTTTTATGAAGCTGCATTGATGTGACTAAGATCAGAAATTTGAGTCACTGTCTTATTAAAATATAGCAAGAGAGTCAACAATTAAAAAGCTGCTGTGATGTTATTTCATGTTGTCATTATGACTGATGTCTCACAGGAGGTGCTAAAGATGGAAATCAACGCACTTAAACAGTTTTTCCAGGAGGTAAATGTTTGCCGGCTTCCCCTGAATCCTGCACTTGTTGTAAGAGGCATAGACACAGATGTAAGTGCATTTTACTCTATTGATTATTTTCACTGTAATGAGTACTAGGGAATGAACTGTTGCATAAACTAGGGCATGATCCTGCAAATCTTTACTGGTGAGAATCCCTTTTATGACACTAGACACATAGGCAGTCATCTACAGAACTTATATTTTTAGGGGTTCCTTCAGCTCAGCTAGAGAGAGAGGTAGAGTTTGCCAATTTAAGTGTGCATCTCTCTCTCTCTTTCTTACAACAGCAGCATGGCAACAACCATTCCAAATTGTCACTACCATTGTTCCAGCCTTGCTGTCCTCAAAGCAGCTTTTGTGTGGAAGACGGTATCTTCCTTTTTAAAAATGTCCCCGCCAAAAAGCATCTGTTTGCTGCCACACCAGTGCAGATTCTTGCTGGAAGCTTTTCCTCCCTGGAGTGTGATAGCTTGCCTAGATGGGGGAGAGGGGGTTAGCTCCAGTACTGGCTTTCGTCCCATTGAACCTGTGAGATTTTGCATGGTAAATGTTTGCAGATTCAGCTGCTTGTACTTAACCTGTATGATTTATCCTTATTAAAAACTAGTGATGAACAGAGGAAACTTGTGTATTGGTTCAGATGTTTGATTGCATTGACGAGACTGCCAGGACTGTGTCATTCAGGTTTTATCATCATTGTGACATGTAGCTGTCACACCAGAAGCTTCAGTGTTGTGGGAGAAAGGCGTGCCTAGCCCCACAAGGAAAATACAGTATGTACAGGTCTAAGAGGCTTTTTAATTTATAACTCCTATAATTACAGCACTTCGTCTCATATATGGCCTATAACCCATAATAGATCTGATCTTGAGAAACTGAGTCCTTCGACTCCCTTTGACCTGCAGCTCTCCCCGTAATTGCTACACAGACTTGATGTCAATAAGAAACAAAGCTTCTTGGCACCTGGCTGGACTGGGCCACTTGTGGATGAAATGAATCAGAAGAGTTTTGAAGCATACTGTTCCTCACTGCTTTCTGACTTCTTCAAAATAATGACTATGGGGGGGATATCTAACTATCCAGTTGAGCATATGAAAGCACACCAGGTTGGCTTGACTGGCATTAAATCTTGATTGATATGTGTGTGTGTGTGTGTGTGTGTGTGTGTGTGTTCATGTTCATTTTCTTACATGAATTAGTCATTAACTACAGCTACTAGACTGAAATGCCCATTCTCTTTAATGAACCCAAATGTTTTTAGAGTAGATCTAATAATCGAACCATAATTCATTTCAGAATTGTTTCCTGGTTGAACTAAGGCTACGTCTAGACTGCAAGCCTCTTTCAAAAGAGGCTATTTCGAAAGAATCTTTCAAAAAAGCCTCTTTCGAAAGAGAGCATCTAGACTGCAACCTCTTCTTTCGAAAAAGCAAGCCGCTTTTTCGAAAGAGAGCACCCAGGCAGTCTGGATGCTCTGTTTCAAAAAAGCCCTGTTTGCAATCAAGGATGCCTTTTTTCAAAAGAACACTTTCGAAAAAAGGCGTTATTCCTCGTGAAATGAGGATTACCGCCATCGAAAGAAAAGCTGCGTTCTTTCGATTTAATTTCGAAAGAACGCGGCTGTAGTCTAGACGCAGGTGAAGGTTTTTCGAAAAAAGGCTACTTATTAAAAAGGCTACTTTTTTCGAAAAAACCCTGCAATTTAGACACAGCCTAAGAGACAAGCATCCAGGAACCTTACCCAGCTCTGCCACTGGAGCATTATCATACATTAACCTTTGGCAAAGTCTTTCAGTCACTCTCAGTGAATCCTTGCCCTCAATGGAGCAAAACTCCTGCTAATTTGACTGTGTCAGGATTTCACCATCTGTGCCTCAAATATATTCATCTGTAACTTGGTATAATATATATTTCTCAAACATCACATTAGTGCTATGAGGCTTGTGTAATATTTCTAACATGTTTTAAGAACCTTCAAAGAAAGGCAGTATATAGCTGCCTAGATTTATAATTTTTCTTAAAATGTTCTTCTTATTTCTGAAAACCAGGTCATTGCTTTTTCATTCTCAGTTTTTTTTTTCTTTTTATAGTGAAGATAATAATACTCACCTAAGTCACAGGGGTTTTCAAAGCTTAGTTCATGAATGGTTTTAAAAGCTTTTGAGATCTTCACATGGAAGCTGCTATATGATACCAAGGGCAGGAGTTAAGATAGGCTCCAAATGTAGATTATGATGACCAAGGTTGCCTCTAAACTGCTCGGCAGCACAGCCCCACAGCTGCTTAATCCGCCCAGCCCAGTCAGGAGCTCAGTGGTCTGTGTATGGAGCTGCCTGACTGGGAGGAGCTAATTAAGCAGCCGTGGAGCTGTGTTCCACACAGCTTAGAGGAAACCTTGATGATGACTGAAATTTGCTGCACTCCTCACCCAGGCTTGGAGACCCATTAAAATGAGTGGGAGACTTGCCTCCAAAAGCATTGCAGGATCCAGCTACCCACTGACAAAATAACACAAACAACCAAAACTGTATACTTGACTTTGGTGTAACCAGCAGACAATACTGAAATGAATTGTGGCTTGATTATAAGACCATCGCACACTGTTTTCCCCAGCCTGAAAACCTGAGGAAGATGGGTATTGGTCTTCCCTAAGGGTGCAGCCTGCATTAAAGTTGTGTTAAGACTATGAGTAGGCTGTCAAGCATACTTTTGCATGTGTCTATTTTTGTTTGTTTGTGTGTGTGTGCATGTGGGGGAGCACAACCAAAGAGTGTAACTCAAAGGAGGAGACTCAGCTCAAAGACTGTGTCTACATTGGCATGATTTTGTACAAAAGCAGCTGCTTTTGCCCAAAAACTTGCTGCCTGTCTACACTGGCGGGGAGTTCTTGTGTAAGAACACTGACGTTCTAATGTGTGAAATCAGTGCTTCTTGCGCAAGAACTCTGATGCTCCCTCTCAGGAATAAGCCCTCTTGCGCAACTGTTCTTGCACAAGAGGCCAATGTAGACAGGCAACATGAATTTCTTGCACAAGAAAACCCGATGGCTAAAATGGCCATTGGAGCTTTCTTGCACAAGAGAGCGTCTACACTGGCATGGATGCTCTTGCGCAAAAGCACATCTCTTGTGCAAAGGCACATGCCAGTGTAGACGCTCTCTTGCGCAAATACTTTAACACAAGAACTCTTGCGTTAAAGAGTATTTGCGAAAGATCATGCCAATGTAGACGTAGCCTAGGAGTATATTCTAAAAATGTTTGGATTCATTAAATATAACATGCATTTCAGTCTAGTGGCTACAGTGATTGCAGTGTTCATACATGCATTTTCAGTGGGTCTGCCTTACATCACTTTGGTCTTTCTAGACCCAGCCAAAATGAAGCACTAAATGGCCTGGGAGAGAGGGGGGGAATTGTGTTAGAGAGATTTCAGAACCTTTCAAAAGTTTTCAGATGATGATATAGATGGGCGAAGTGTCAAAGGAAGTGGAGATTCAGTTCAATAGACTCTAAAATCAAGGACTATTTATTTTTCTTACCTGTGCTGCTGATAAATACTTCAGGACATTGCATCTTCCCAGGGAAATGTTCTACAGCTTTTAACCTATAATATAATATATTTTATGTGTGTATCATTTTTGTTTCTAAAGGCATGTTCATATTTCACATCCAGTGCTTTTCCATTGAAAATTTCCTTCCTCAGTACAGATACACTGAGTAGAAACATCGATGTTATTTTTAAGGTAGGTTTTTCATATTAATAACCCCCAGTTTATTTTGTATGCAAAATGTTAATTTAATACTTATGGGAAGACAAGGCTTTGGATTTTGTGCCTGAGATGTTTGATTTGGTTGTGCTGCTCAGTTTTCATAATCCCATTTGATACAAGGCTTTTTAACACAGTATATTAAGGAAATATATTAAAGCACCCTAGGTTTTGATTTGTAGAAATTAAAAAGCATCCTAAGAAAACAGTGGGTTCTTTTAACTCAGTGGAGACCACCAGGCTAAACAATATAAGGGTACGTCTAGACTACCGCGTTTTGTCGACGGAAGGTTTGTCGACAGATACTGTCGACAAAACTTCCATCGACAAAAAGTGTCACGACACATTGAGTTCTGTCGACAAAGCAAGCTGCTTTGTCGACAGAACTCCGTAGTCTGGACGCAACGTTACAGGCAATAACACCTTCTGTCGACAGAGTTCTGTCGACAGAAGGTGTTATGCCTCGTAAAATGAGGTTTACCAGCGTCGACAAAACTGCTGAGTTCTGTCGACGTTATGTCGACAGAACTCAGCGGTAGTGTAGACGCTGGTATAGTTTTGTCGACAAAAGTCCACTTTTGTCGACAAAACTAGGTAGTCTAGACACACCCTATGATAACACTGTGTATTTACCTTTTGGGGGTGAAAGGGCAACAGCCAAACAAAGGACTGTTCAAGGAAAGGACTTAATTATACAGTAGCCCTGTGGAGCTGATCAAAATATTAAAGTGCTAAAGACTGCATCTGACACAAAACACATAGGAGTCTTGCAAAGAAGCAGAAGAGGCTCCCTTCTCATTCACTCAGTTTTTAGGAAAGAGACTGGTACAAAAGCTACCTCTTCCTGCATGTGGTAACCCGGCTCTGACTAGAAGGAGGACTGGCTGGGGGAAAGGGCCAGCTGAAGGAGAAGATAGCTAAGGGTGGCAGTGGGAGATGGCAGGGGATTCAGCCCTACCCTTCTCACCAACTGACCAAAGCTGGGTGGCATCATAACAGAGCCCCTTCTCTGCTGGATTGAGGAGGGGCGGCTGTGCCAAACAAGAGTGGCATGGCAAGCCTGTATGCCTGCTTGGGCCCTCTATTTTCTCAGGCCTTCTGGAAGGCCCTTCCACTCCCTAGTGAAAAGCAGAATAGGGCTGAGTGTATGAGGGAGAGCTCAGAGATGGAGGCAGATCAGTGTGAGGGGAAGAGCACTGGGCTGGGTGTGTAGCAGGATGAGCAGTGTGTTTGTGTGGCTGGGTGTATGAGGGGGAGCATGGATTTGGGTGCTGAGACAGCATGAGAGTGCTCAGGACTGGGTACAGGGAAGTGGCAGGGGCGAGTTCAGGAGTGGTGGGGAGGTGTAAGACTGGCTTCTGGCCAATGGAGGGAGAGCTCTGGATTCTCACCTTAGGAAAATTCTGCTTGCATCCCTGAGAGGAGGAGTACATGTTCTGAACCAATCTAGTCAGGGTAGTTGTTAGAAAGACCCTGGAAGGGTTGCTAAGAGAACATACCTGCAGGGTCAGGAGCAGCCATAAGGGGATATGATGGAGGGCACTGCCCCATGGCAGTCATCCTGTGGAATGACAGAGAAGGTGCACCGCCTGAGTAAGGGAATCTATAGGCATTGGGTTGGATTCATTGCTGGCGGAACTCCATTGTTTTATTTGGAATTAAGCCCAGGTTTGTCATGTTTCCATACCCAAGGAGAAAAAACATATGTCTTCAATCTAACATTACTTCTGTTTCAGATTAAGAGAAACAACAAAAGGAAAATCGCAATGGGAAAGCTGTGTGTGTGTGTGTGAGAGAGAGAGAGAGAGAGAGAGAGAAAACACATCCTGGAGAGAACAAAATGGTTGATGTCTCTAAATAAATGGTTAAGGGGTAGCTCTTAGAAATTATAAGGGGCTGTAATCAAACAACAAAAGCCTAAAAAGGTCATACTATAGGTGCTACTTGGGTGAAATTTGCATTTTTGCCTACATGACACAGGAACAGGCACATCATCTCTCACCATACTGGAAGAAGCACATTCATTTTACCTTTGGAAAAAGTGGTGTAGCTGGCACTGCTTACCTCACAAACCAGTAGCTTAAATTGGAAGGAGAAGCAGGTGCCAGTTGTCATTCCACGCAATATATACCTCTGAGGCAATCAATACTGGCAGTGTTATTAAGTTCCATGCACATTCTCCCATCCAGCAAACCTGTGTAGCAGCAGTCCTAATTCAGTTCAGAATATGCTTCATTATTTGTAATAGATAATGGTTAAATAAAATTGTAACTATTGTTTCGAATAGTGGTGAGCAAACCCAGGAAAAATTATCTTCAGGTCTGTATACTGAACATAATATTGGAATCAAGATTAGCTGTAAACAAAAGGGAAATGGATTTTTTTTTTTTTTAAAAGAGGGGAATTGATGTTCCCTCATTAAATGCTTGTAGACTAGGATGTTTCTGTAAAGGAGCAAATCATTATAATGTAAGTAAAAGCTAGCAAATTATGGAAGACTTTCTCGATGAAGGCTTGAAAATACCAGTAAAATCCAGATGCAGTTTAGACATAGAGGGGAAGAGGATGAAAAGCAGAGCTTTTGTTTTACAGGCCATTTATCCAGTTATGGTAGAAAATAATCCCTTCATTAATTACAAGATGCAAAGTCCGATCTCTTTAAGATTGTTGTTCAACGGACTCCATATGGAGAGCAGTGAGCAATACATTGCTGTTTGAAACTGGATATGAATCATGTCAGGGAAGCGATTTATACTTGTAATAAAGTTGCCTTGTTGCCTGCTACAAATATCGAGTTGTGATCTTTAGTGTCAGGTCAAATACATGTTCTCTCATTCCTGAAAGGGATAAATAAGTGGTTGTATTTTGAAATTTAACTAAATAAGGATCCAACCTCCTGATTGCATTTGAAACACCAATAATAATTTATGTGAGTAATAAACTGCAAGTTTGCAGCAGGTAAAAGAGCATATGGTACCATTCATGTGGCTGTCAAAACACTTGTAGTCTGTACTAGTCATCCCATTCTTTCTTCCTCCTGATACAGTATGAACACTGAGCAAAACTGCAGTGGCTTACTGTAAAATGAAGGTAACTGGTTTTCCCTGGAAAAAATCCAAAAGATGTAGGAAGGTGTCTCTCTTTGGGATTCAAGAAGAAATTCAGATTTCATGTGCCCGTTTCACAGGTGGGAGATGATCTACGTCAGGATATGCTGGTTTTGCAGATTATTCGTGTGATGGACAGTATTTGGCTTCAGGAGGGACTCAATATGCAAATGATCATTTATAGATGTTTATCTACAGGAAAAGGCCAAGGTCAGTACAGATTAGAAAGGATGCATATGTTACATTATTCATGTCTCATGTAAACCACTGAAACACAGCATTCCTCCCTTCAGTATTTCTTTATGAAGGTGTCTTCTTTCTTTTTTTCCATAAAGGGAAAAGAGTGCTCAGAATATCACTTAACTTGGTCCCAGAGATCTTTTGTAGATTTAAGGAAGTTAACATCTTTTTTTTTCTCCTTCCTTAAGATGAAATACAACCCAAACTAATGACCTTTTGTAGCAACCCAGGCCTTATTTAAAACCTTGGCATCCACAACTGGTCTCGGACTCTTCAAAAAAATCTCCCATTCAGGCACCATATAAGAACTTTTGAAAACCTGCTCAGAAGAGTTGCAATGGGAAGTCCTGGGTGCTGAGTTCTTTTGCAAATCTGACCCTTATTTAGGTGCCAGCTGTCGACTCATAAAGTTCCCCAAACCTGCCAGCGTTGTTTGCGATACCATTCTTGCTGTGTATGCTGGGTTAAGGCAAGCTTGACTCATGTGAAAGCTTTATTCATTCCTTTTTTTATGGTTGCTATAACAAAGCCATAGCAAGAATGACAATTACTTCCTAATGAAATCTACCGATGGCAGTAGACTTTTTTTATTGACTCTCTAAACCTTTTACTGAAAATAATTCTAGCACAAAAGGAAGATGAAGCATCCAGATTACCTATGGTACAGAAATGAAAAATACAGTGTTTATGGCCTTTTGAGCCACATTGCAGAGAATGTTTGGGAGTCCTGCAGAAGCCATGGAGGAGTCAGGGATGTGTCAGGTGAATGATGGAAACTGGAAAAGGATCCTCTTCATCCTTTCTTTTTGTGAACAAGGCAGAACCAGAAGGGTTCCCCTTACAATATTTTATGGTTATTGTATTGATCTGGAAGGAAGATGCTATAATTATAGTTCCTCCGTTACACTAATTTTCAATTTGATATTTTTAAAGGATACAGAGGGTGCATGAGAATAGACCCTTGGATGTCTGTCTCAGGTGGTACTTTGTAATCAGCATTTCTGAGCACCTCACAGTCTTTGATGTCTTTATCCTCACAACACTGTATTTCTTGTTACATTTTTGGGCTCCATTCTGTCCTTTCACATTAAATTCCAAAATCTAGTTATGTATTGTGTGGAAAAGCATTTCTATATATCAGTTTTTAATTTACCTTTAATTTCTTTTAATAGCTCTTTATTCTTGTTTTATGAGACATGGAAATGAGAAGCTCCCAGTCTTCCTTTTCTAGACTATCCAATGCTGTGTAGACTTTTGCAGTTAATTGAAATGCGTGTATAAGTTTCTCCATGGGGTGATATGATACAGTGCGATGCAGGTTAATAAACAGCCTTTTTTAAATTGTAAGTTTTTCGTGTGAATTCCTTCTCTCTGATTAGGACTAGTGCAGATGGTGGCAGATGCTACAACACTGGCCAAGATCCACAGGGAATCTGGACTAATAGGACCATTGAAGGAAAACACAATTAAAAAATGGTTCAGTCATCATCATCCTTTGGAATCAAGTTACCAAGAGGTACATTACAATGGAATATTGCATAAATTGTTTGTTTTATAAATGAAAAACAAATAGTAATTAGGAGTAGTCTCCTGAAGTCGGGAAAAACAGATCACATGTACCATAGAGTGTCCTTAAATGGCACATCTGTTTCTTTGGAAGATTGCTAAGGACCAGATTCAGTGCAGTATTCTTTGGGGTTGTTTTTTATTTTTTCAACAACATTAAGAAAAGATAAGAAAATACCACATTTTGAAATACAGAAGTGAAATAAGAAATTGAAGATGAAATTAAGTTAATAAATACCAAACCTAGATTATTTATATGCAGATAGTGAGAGATGGTATTTTTATATAATCACATAAAAACAGCATCCTGTGCTTGAAAATGTCACTGTTAGAAAGCTAGAATTTAATTGAATTGATATAATGCATCAGGTCACACTGATCACTTAACATTACAGGATCCTGTGCAATTCATCTGGTTTCATGCAACCTGGTGTGGCACACCAGTTTACATATCAGCCATAAAATTGGGGAATCCATATTTGCAAAAGCAGAGGTTTCACTCTTAGAAGGAAGAAGCCATGAAGTCACTGTTGCACATTCCTTTTAGATGAAGTATGTCTTAAGATTCACAAAAAGGTTTTAACTTTTTTTTTCCATCCTGGGGAGTTTTTGAACACCTCCCCATGCCTGCAGTAGATTAGTAGCCAAACATTTGGTCCAAGTTAAAGAGCTCCAGATGCTCAGCCATTCTGAAGATGGGACATCTACTTTGATACCTAATTGTAGGCATCAACGTGTAGATTTTTTGCCAGAATGTGGTGGGTGGTAGCTTGTTTCACATGTATCTATTTATGAAAATACTCAATCTGAACTTTTAGAAACAACTGTTATACATTTACAGTAAAGGTGCTGCTGACACTTTAATTGAAAATTGAGACAGCTGTCAATTATCAGTCAAAAATCTGGTTTTGTTAGTCAAATAAAATGAAATGTTCTAACAAAATTGCAACACATTATGCTCATTTTTAAAAAAACAAATGAAATACAGTCAGTTCTGATTGCAGAAGATGTCTGTATAATTGTTTGTATCCTGCTCTCACCATTTCTCTTCTCTTGCTATTAATGCCTTTGCACTTGGGTACTGAACTCAGATAGGGTGAGTAAGCTTTATTATCCCCATTTTACAGTTGGGCAAACAGTGGCACAGAAAGGTGAAGAGATGTCTTCAAGGTCATCCTGTGACTAAGTGGCATATTCAGGAATAGACCATAGGCATCCTTAGTTCTTGCACTGTGTTCTAATCGCTGCCCATTGCTACCATCAAAATCAGACACTAGATATGTCACTATAATACTACAATAATATCAGTACGCAAACAGTTATTTGCTGGCATAGTATAAAGAGAGCACAGTACTGTATGCATTGAGGTTTTGATGAAGAATTTAATAATTGTGAATTAAATTTTATAGAGTTTGCATATAAATGCCTCATGATTATTGAGATAAATAGCTTAATAACATTTGCAAGCAGTTCAGACCTTGACAAATAAGAATAGTAACTGTGGTTATTACACTGCAACAGCTACAATAAAACCTGCTTGGGCTACAGTTCCTCATGGTTTGTATAAATCTGATTGCCATCTAGAGCTAGGAAGAATTCTCCTCATCTTCCCCTCTTCTCTGGGATGTGATATTAGGCAGGTGGGACTGGTTGGACAGATTCATTTGAGGGAGCAGAGAAGTGCTGGTACAAGGCCCACTGAAGTCAGTAGAAAGCTTTGGATCAGTCCATAAGGCTACATGTATACACTGTGCACCACTTTCGTTGGTGTATACAGTACGAGTAGCGACACGTGACAATGTGACTTTTCCCTGCTCCTTCTTCCCTGGCAGATCCTTTCCCTGTGGTGTGAAGGGCTCTAGCCAACAGAGATCTGCTGAAGCCTTTCCTTGTTGCCACTACTCCCTCCATCCCCCCTCCCCATCAGAGCTTTTGCCCACTGCTGGTGCCTTTGGCCAGCTGCTATAGTCTTTTCCTGAGATGGGCAAAGGACTTAGCAGCTGGGAGGCAGCAGAACACTACGTGATTTGGGCAAGTAAAGAGCCAAGTGGAATATGTACTTGAGTACCCTTCAGATTGTCTGTCTGTCTGTACTCTTGTTGCTAAAATGGGCCTCACAGTCTACCTGATACTTAAACCTGTCCTGAATACATATTCTACATGCTGAGAAAAGAAGCCTGCAGGATAGACATAATCTTAGTGAGTATATAGTGGTTAATATAGTGGTTAGAGCACGGAATTAGGAATCAGCACTCCTTGTCACATATTCCTAGCTCTGACATTGAATCTTCAGCACTGGGGGGTGTTCACTTAACCTTATTGTATCCGAATTTACTTCTCGGTAAAGCGGGGGTCAGGTTCCTTCCACAGGGAAGTTGCGAGGCTTCATTAATTAGTGTTTATTAAGTTCGTTGAGTTTGTGGATGAAAAGATCCACCTACATTCCAAAGAACCATCCAAAATAAGTTGTTACTGGAGAGAGAGCAAGTGAATAGATGAGTCATTGGTCAGTTGTAATATGGCAGTTCCTATGTTGTTAGTTTAGGTCCTGAACCTGCAAACACTTTGGCCTGTATTTCACTTTAAGGAAGTACACGAGAGCATGTAGGGCTTGGTTTTCATATTAGTATTCCAAAACTACATTACTATATATCTTCTCTTTGTGTTTTTGTTTTGATTTATTAGGCGGTAAAGAATTTCTTTCATTCCTGTGCTGGCTGGTGTGTTGTTACCTTCATTCTGGGAGTTTGTGACCGACACAATGACAACATCATGCTGACAAACACTGGCCACATGTTCCATATAGATTTTGGAAAGATTTTAGGTCATGCACAAAAATTTGGAAGCATAAAAAGGTTGGTATCTACAATTACATTAATTATGAAGTTTAAACAGTGCTCTGATAAAGCTTCAGTATCTATAACGTACAAGAAAATTGTAAATGAGTCTTTGCTTTCCCCTCCCAACCCTCGAAATCTCTAGAGATGCAACATCATGTTTTAGCTATTAATATGGAGACTTTCTCTTTTAAGTCAGTAGTCAGGAGTCTGAGTCTGTTCCATTTCAGCAGTGGCCAAGAGTAGTTACTATCAGATCATTAGTTCTTGATCTCATTTCTTTTTCTAGTGGGCAGATGTCTCCAGCACAGATCCAGTACCACAGCTGAATGTAATTACATCCTTCTTGTCACTTTCAGCATAGAGACCAAGGACTGACTGGGCCTGCAGGATCAACTGCACTCACGCCCATAAGGTGAAATCCTGACCCTGTAGAAATCAATGGGAGTTTTGCCATTGATCCCAATAGGCCCATGATTTCCCTGTATGGTGAAATCTAGAAGTGCTATTTAAAATAATTCATTCATATAAATAGCAGCTATTTCATTCCTTTTCATCCATACAAATATTTTGCTTTCTTTTTAAAAGATTCTAAAGCTATACAGGTAGGAATAACTTCTGACTCATTCATGTGCCCTTAGTATTACTGGACTTATATTATCTATAGGATGGAGATGTAATTAGGGAGTGATGTACTTACTCCTTGCCCTCTCGCATACTAAGAAGGTCTGAGAAAGATAGACATAAAATTCATGAGCAGTGTGTGTTCTTCATCAAATGTAGTGCCTGACCGGTAATAGTGAAATAAGGATGTCAGACTTTCATCATCCACCAAGCCGACGTCTAGACTGCAAGCCTCTTTCGAAAGAGGCTTTTTCAAAAGATACTTTTGAAAAAGAGCATCTAGACTGCAAACTCTTCTTTCGAAAAAGTGAGCCACTTTTTCAAAAGAGAGCACCCAAGCAGTCTGGTTGCTCTCTTTCGAAAAAGCCCTGTTTGCATTCAAGAACGCCTTTTTTTGAAAGAGCACTTTTGAAAAAAGGCGTTCTTCCTCGTGAAATGAGGAGTACCACCGTCGAAAGAAAAGACACATTTTCTCAATTTAATTTCGAAAGAACGTGGCTGTAGTCTAGACTCAGGTGACGTTTTTTTGAAAAAAAGCTACTTTTTTCGAAAAAACCCTGCAGTCTAGACACAGCCTAACTGAATACTTGATGCTATTTGCATCTATCCAGCTATCCATTCCTTTTCCACACACAGCCCTGAAGCAATACACTTGTTAGCCTTGTATTTGACTAACTAACTCTTTATTAGATTTTTAGCTCAATTCTCCAAAAACTATCTGCGTTTTGACCATTCCCAAAACAGTAATTCACCTAACCTGAGCCCCTACAGTGATGCCCATAAAAACAGCAAACTTAAAAAAAGTTGCCAATGCTATATTTGTGCCGATGCTCTTGTTTTCCATCTTGTTTAATACAACTAATATTCACTGCAGTGAGAGAGATTAGATAATTTTAGAGATCAATAGCATCTGATTTTACACATCTTTGCTCATGCAAATAGTCTTTATATTGTGGTGGTGTCATATTTTTCTTGAAAGCACTTATACTAAAGGCTTACAGGAAAAGGAATCCCCACTCTGTAGTATGTACCGAACCCTTTTTCCCCCTAGAAAACTGGTCTTTCTTTTCCTAGAAAGATACATATCCATTGTACATACCCATTGTATGTTCTCAATAAATGTGGAGTAGGGAAGTGGTTAGCAAACACCTGTCCTTCAAAGCTTCATAAACACATGCATTCCACAGTTTTTTGCAAATAAGAGTACATTTTTTCTGTAAATAAACTGATTTATAGTAGCATGAAGAATTATGTAATACTTTTCAGAGCAGTGGCTCCCTGTCCAATCTGGACTGGAAATAAAACTTTGGAGATAATACAAGTCAGACTGACATGGGAATTTTCAGGAAAACATTATGTTGAAAATGTAGCAAACAGAATTTGACAATGGACAGGGATCAACTAACCGTTCCAGTCCTATACTCATCATTAAACTATATGTAGAGTCTCTCTATTTAGATCTCAATCCTGCACTGATTAAAATCAGTAGCAAAACTCCCATTGACTTCAGTGGAATTTAGAGAACTTTCCTGACTTTAATAAGAACTCCTTATCACTTTTGCAGATCTAGACTAACCTGACTACCCCTCTGATACCTGACTTTGACAATGCTTATAATCTGTCTATCTGATCTGTAAAGTGACATACACACCCATTATGCAGCGGAAGTATTAAATAATAATAGTCTTACCACTCACAGTGTCTACCAACTACTGCTTCAGAAGGGTTGGAGGAGAGAGCTATACTGCTGTAACTAGCCAACAGTATAATGCTATGCTCAGGAGGAAAATTAGTTTTCGATTCCCATCACAGATTTACACACTAAAACATGAGATGTCATTATCTTTTATCTTATAAAGCTCCATATTTTGTTGTGGGCATAAAATTACATGCCTTCTTTTAATCAAGCCACAGTTTTTGACCCTGTGGTCCTCTAAGGTAATGAAGTCCATGGAACTCAAACACTATGAAGAAGTGTTTGTTTATTCAAAATACAAAATACTATGAAAGTACAGGATACCTTGTATCCTCATTTTGAGCTAGGCTTGTGCTCAAATTATGTGTTCTCAACTGATACGTCTATACTGAAATGTGTACATACATCCTACCCACATTTTATGTTTCTATTGGGTTGAACATTGGGAAACACTTCCTAAATGTCAGGGTGATTAAACACTGAAATAAATTGCCTAGTGAGGCTGTAGAATCTCCATCACTGGAAATAGTTAAGAGTAGGTTGGATAGACATCTATCTGGGATGATCTAGATGAAGGGTGGGCAATAAAAAATCGACAGTCCACAGTGTTAGTCCCTGGTGGGCCGCTGCTGCTATGTTTACCTACACCTCTGCAAATATTGGAGGATGGCAGCTCTGGCTGGCCACAAATTGCTGTTCATGGCCAATATGAGTGGCGGGAAGTGTCACAGACTGGAACACCATTTCCCACTGCTTGAATTGGCCGTGAATGGCAATTTGCGGTCAATGAGAGCTGCGATCCTCTGATAACTTTGGAGGCGCAGGTAAACATGGAGGTGGTGGTCCACCAGGGATTAACCGTGAAGATCAGATCCGGAGCATGATCTGAAATTTGCACACCCCCTACCTAGATGGTGCTTGGTGAGGGCAGGGGATTGGACTTGATGACATCTCGAGATCCCTTCCAGTTCTAGTGTTTTATGATTGTATCCTGGTTTGAGCATGTGTGGTTATTGTTAGCCCAGCCTTCCTCCTCCACTGCAGAGCCACACAGGATGTGGCTAGACTACATGGGGTTTTTTAAGAAAAAAGTGTCCTTTTTTCAAAAAAAAACTTCCCCTGTGTCTAGGCTGCTGCTGCGTTCCTTTGAAAGTAAATCGAAAGAACGTGGCAGTTTTTTCAACTGCGGAAAACCTCATTTTACGAGGAATAACACCTTTTTTCGAAAGTGCTCTTTTGAAAAAAGTAATAGAGATGTAGCCGTGTTAGTCTGGTCTTGCTGAAACAAAACAGGACTATGCAGCACTTTAAAGATTAACAAGGTGGTTTATTAGGCGATGAGCTTTCGTAAGCCAGACCCACTTCCTCAGATCCAATTGTGGAAGAAAATTGGCATGACCATACATACCAAAGGGATACAATCAAAAAAAGTGAATACATATAAAATAGACAAATCAGATTTTAGAACTGAGGGAGGATGAGTGGTGCAAACTGTGCTTTTTCGAAAGAAAGCGTCCAGACTTGCTGGGCTGCTCTCTTTCGAAAAAGTTTGCTTTTTCAAAAGTACTGAATGTAGTCTAGGCACTCTCTTTCAAAAAAGGCTTGTAGTCTAGACATACTCACACTCCCCAGTATATCAACATTTATTCTGACTCTGGAGCTCTGTGTTTAGTACTAGAATTATTGGAGTATATTCCAGGATTCTTGGTACTTTGCCACTTGCAGCTATTCTAGCAATTGGTGTATAGTGTATTGTGGGAGGATTTGTTTGTCCTTCCTGTATCCCTGTGCACAAGTGGTTTTAGCTTGCCACATTTAGTTCAGTCACACAAGCCTTGGTGCAGTTATCAGACCGTGTAAGAGGAAGGACAGATTTTTTTTATTTTTCTGGTTCTATCAAATCCTCTTGAACACTTCTGCTTTGGTGAATTAGACAATAAAATATTTATTTAAATCCTGAGCTAGCTGATATAATCCTAGATTTAACTTACAAATACTTCTCAAGCCAGTTTCAGTGCCTTTATCTGTACTTTTGTGATTACTGCTATCTGTTTTGTGATGAGGTGGCCACTCAAATGGCATGAGATAATCCAGGTTATACACTATAAGGGTATGGCTACACTAGCCTCCTAGTTCGAACTAAGGAGGCTAATGTAGGCATTCAAAGTTGCAAATGAAGCCCGGGATTTAAATATCCCGGGCTTTATTTGCATCTTTCCGGGTGGGCGCCATTTTTAAATCCCCTTTGTTCGAACTGACTGCCTGTGGCTACATGTGGCAGTCAGAAGTTAATCCGAACTAAGTCCTTAGTTCAGATTAACCGTTACTCCTCCTGCAATGAGGTGTAACAGTTAATCCAAACTAAGGACTTAGTTCGGATTAACTTCTGACTGCCGCATGTAGCCGCAGGCAGTCAATTCGAACAAAGGGGATTTAAAAATGGCGCCCGCCTGGGAACACGCAAAAAAAGCCCGGGATATTTAAATCCCGGGCTTCATTTGCAACTTCGAATGCCTACATTAGCCTCCCTAGTTTGAACTAGGGGGCTAGTGTAGACATACCCCAACATATCTTTGTCATGCCATAGTAATGTATATGTAATTTTCTATCTCTTTTTAATACATAGCTAACTGCTTTTGAATTGGCAAAAGTGGGAAAACAATCAGAAAATGTGGAGGAAAATGAAAAAAAATTGAAA